TCCCGCAGTCACTGTACTCCGTATCTCTTCAGTCTGCCTCAGTTGCCTCCTTGCAGTCATTCACTATTTTTTGAAAAGTCTATTACATCTAAGCATTTAATGAATTTAGTGATTTTACTGAAGATTTAGTGTCTGAGGAGAGCAATGACATTACAGAGAACAACCATCTATCTCCTTTGTTTTACAGGCCACCTCCATTATCTCTTGAATGCAACTGAGAACCTCTTGTTTTATAATCCGGGACCCCTTCCTATGCAGAATTCCGTGAAAGAAAATGTTATCTCTTTCCACAAAGAATGAGTTTTTGGTGGCAAGTCAGGAAATGCACAAATTCATATCCAATGACAATTTCTCTGTGAAATATGACGGTTCATTCAGGAGTTCACTAGCCTGGAATGAGTAAGAGGAATCTTTAGGAGTGTGGTACGGGCTTGGAATATTGCTGAAGCCTTCCTTTTTATATTTACCTAAAGTGATGTCTTACCTTATGATAGACAATGAAACAATAAAATGCCCTACTATATACACACCTGGGAAATAAGAATAGTCTTGTTATTGTTAAGGGATGTTAGGCCTCTAAGGTACCACTTAAATAAGCAGGACAGCCAACTGATCCCCTTTTGTATTGACTGTGGGAAGATAAGTTTGGAAAATAATATGAGGGAACGTTTCTCCATTCAAGTTTGAATAAATAGATATTTGCATGGCATCATTCCAGTTAATCATTAGCCAACAGCTAAATTCTGGAGGTAGAAATTAACATTGCAAACAATTTGTACAAGTTTTTTCTCTTCCAAGTATATCTCTCTTCCTGCCCCATTTCTATATATGACATTTTTCAGTGAGCACTCAACAGAGTGATGTGATTGAGATCAATCATTTCAAGATAATTTCTCTGCATTCTCAAAATTCTGTGCTTGATTACTATGAAACACCTACTGGGTAATAATTGCTTAATTCTCTCGGTAGAGAAAAAGATGTAATTTGGAAAAATTGAACTTACAGGAACAAAATAGATAAGCACTGAAAAAAATACTTGGGTTATTTTATTGTTAAAAACAATGAATATTTTGTGGTTAAAAATATGATAAATATAATAATATAAATACTGTATATGTATAACTGCATAATTTTCATTCTAATCATTCATGCTTAGCTCATCTTTTACATTTTAAATATTTTTCTCAGTGCAGAAATCCTAAGGACTAAAAGAAAATGGTTCAGTGCTGGACCCTTAGGGTTTGGGAATTTGTAACCACACATATAAAAGCATATGTTCTGCTTTAGAATGCTGTGCTGAATTAACCTTTCAGGAAAAATAACAGTCTAATTACTTTGTAGTCTACTCTGGTGATGGTATTTCTTTTAAATTTGCTTAGTAGATGCTGGCCTTTCCAGTGAGTAATATTGATAATTAAGTCAATGCCAAGGACTATGAGAAAAATTAGTGCTTTCAATAAAATTGAGCTTCTCCCAGGCAAATAAATACTAAGGCTTCAAAGTTTATATGCCAACCAAATACACATAGATGTTTTTCCTTTGATTCAGAATTCAAATAAGAAAAAAATCTTGGCTCTTGAATATTTTAAGCTATATATTTAGACAGAGACAATTTTGTTACATGGGTAAAATTACATGGAATTACTTTTTTAAGGAGGTAAAAACATGGATAAAGCTACAATAATAAATACAGTGCAGTAATGTCAAAAGTATAACCACATAGATCAATGAAACAAAATTGGGAACCCAAAAATAGACCTTGATAAATATAGTCAACTATATTTGATCTTCAGCAAAAGAGCAAAGGCAATACAATGGAAAAATTATAATCTTTTTTTGCACCAGGAATCAAACTCAGGACCTTGTGCTTACCAGGCAGGCACTGTGCCACTGAGTTATATCCCTGGCCCATAATCCTTTCTTTTGATTGGTGCTAGAATAACCTGCTCCCTACATACAAAAAAATTACTGGACACAGACCTTATAATATTCACAAAAACTACCTCAAAATGGATCAAATACCTAAATGTAAAATTGAAAACTATACAACTCCTAGAAGGTAAATAGGAAGAAACCTAGATTATGGGATGGGTGATCACTTTTTCCTGCAACACCAGAAGCAATATCCATGCAAGAAATAATTGATAAGCTGCATTTCATTACATTACAGTTTTCTGTTCTGCAAAAGACACTTTCAGGAGAATTAAAAGAGATTATTTCCAATAGACTGGAAGAAAGTACTTGCAAAAGATGTCTAATAACAGACTATTATCTAATATTTACAAAGTATTCTTAAAGCTCCAAAATAAGAAAAAATACGATTTTAAAATGGTCCAGTGACCTTAACAGACACCTAACCAAAAAGTTATACAGATAGTATATAAGCATTTGAAAAGATACACCACATTATGTGTCATTGGGGTAACATAACTTGCAATAAAAAAACAACACTATACTACTATAAGAATGGAATATAATTTGGCCTTTTAAAAGAAGCAAATTCTGCCATCTGTAACAGCATGGATGAACCCAGTAACATTACACTAAGTGAAATAAAGTAGCCGCAGAAGGAAAAATACTTCATGACTTCACTTATCTACGGAATCTAAACAGTAAAATTCATGAAAATAAAATGTTGATTACCAGGGGATGTAGGAGTTGGTGAAATGGGAAACTGATGGTCCAAAGGGTATAAAGTTTCAGTTAGATGGGATGTATAGGTTCTAAGACCGAAAGTATAGCATAGTGACTATAGTTTATGCTAGTGAGATGTATACTTAAAACTTGCTGAGGGAGTATGTCTTAAGGGTTCTTATACAAAAAATGGTAACTATATGTGGTGATATATTAATTAGCTTAACTATAGTGTAATATATATATATATATATATATATATATATATCCACATAAAAGCTTGCATATGAATCTTTATAGCAACTTTAGTCACAATTGCCAAAACTTGGAAACAGCCAAGGTGTCTTTCAGTAAATGAAGGAATAATTAAACTGGTACATCCAGACAATGGAGTATTATTCATTCATCAGTAAAAGAAGCAACCTATCAATCCTTGAGAAGACAAGTTGGAAGATATTTAAATGTATATGACTTAGTAAAAGAAGCCAATCTGAAACATTTGCATACTGTATGATTCCAACTATATGACTTTTCTAGAAAAGATAAATCTGTGGAGACAGTAAAAACATAAGTTGTTTTCAAGGAGGTGCAAGGGATAAGTATACAGAGTATAGAGGATTTTTAGGGTAGTGAAACTACTCTGTATTATACTATAATGTTGAGTGCATAATATTATGGACTTGCATAAAGCTATAGAATGTACACCAAGAATGAACCCTAATGTAAACTGGATTTTAGGTGATAATGATGTGTTAGCCTAAGATCAGTGATTGTAGAAAATGTACCATTCTGCTGGGTAATGTTGATTGTGAGGGAGGCTGTGCACTTATAGGGGCAGGAAATATATGGGAACTCTGTTCCTTCTGCTCAGTTTTACTATGAATCTAAATCTGTGCTAACGATAAAGTCTATTTCAGTAAAATAACCAAATATTTCAAAACAGTTTAAAAATGAAGCAGGCATAGAAGGTATTATCATCCCAATTTTCTGGGTGAGAAAACATAGCCCACAGAGGTTGCCATTTTTCCAAAGTAGGCAGGTTTGGCAAAAGTCAAACCACAGCAAGACTCTCAGTTCCTAAATCAAAGCCCTGTCTCCTATCTCTTTTTGTGCCACTGTGTAGAAGCCTGTAGTAGGTCATTTTATTTGCTTTGACCATAGTCTGTGCTCATAGGTTGGCAATACAGTGGTGCCTCCATTCATGAACACTTTTGTTTGCAAACAGTTTGGTTCACAAACAGAAGTGTTTGGCAGAATTTCATTTTTGTTCGCAAAGTCTGCATCAGGTGACAAACACGACTTTGGCCATCTTTCCCACATGAACACAAACGTGGCCATGTTTTCCAAAATCATAGAGCAAATTAGGTTTCTGAACTGAGGCATCACCATATATTTCTTAGCTAACAGAACTCAAGACCAAGAGTGTTGTGCTCTGGAACATAATACCATGATTAATTTAAATGGATCACATCTTGTCTCCCAAAATTTATACACACATATGCTTATACACTACTTATATATATGGGATCAACTCATTATCCATTAGTCATTTTAAGAGATAAAGAGCTAGAGTTAAAACTTTTGAAAATGCTAAGGCCTTTCGGCCAAAACAGATACACTCTCAGTATCAGATTCTCATTTCTTCAGCTCTCTGCAGAATTTAAGAACACAGCCATGGTGAACGTTCTGCAGTCAGTATGCAGTATAAGTGTAAAAGGGCCTGCATTAAAAAGAACACACTGACATGCTGATCCATTTATTGAGTACCTTCTGTTTGTGTGCCTACTTTTCTTGACTCCCCAGAAGCTTATAGACCAACTGCATGGGGCACTGTATATTCACACAGATCAAGATGAGGTCAAGAAGGTGTTTTCATTTGAGTTGCCTCTGAAACAGACCCTGAGAAAAGGATTTGAGTCTGTGTATTTTGAAGAGAAAGTGTAAGGACCACAGAAGAAGAAAAATGAGATAGGGAAAGGAAGATAGCCAGTAAAGGAAGCATTATTTGACAAATAACACAATAGGTGGCTAGAAGTTAATTCTATGATGAATCACTGCCAAATGGCATAAACACATGCCTCAGAGTCATTTTATCCAAGGAATAGGGAACCGGCTCTTAGCAAGGATGGAACTGAGGTATTGCGGGCTGTCCTGGGGCATGCATTCTTGGCATTTCATCCTGCCAGGAATGTAAGCGAAGAAGACATCTGAAAAAGTCCTTAGGCATTGTGTGAAGGTATTGAGAGCTGGAAGTCAGCCTGTGAATAAAAAGCAGAAGAGTCCAAGGACTATGGGCAGAATGTCTGCCACAATAGGGTTGCTGGTAGAGGTGAGATTTGACAGTGCTCTTTCTCTTCTCTCTCCAGGCTTCTTAATGACCTTGTCCTTATTGTCCATTGTTTACGGAGCCTTGCGCTGCAACATCCTAGCCATCAAAATCAAGTACGATGAGTATGAAGTCAAGGTGAAGCCACTGGCCTATGTCTGCATCTTCCTCTGGAGGAGCTTTGAGATTGCCACTCGAGTCATCGTCCTGGTCCTCTTTACCTCCATCATGAAGACCTGGGTGGTGCTTGTTGTTCTTCTCAACTTCTTCAGCTTCTTCTTGTATCCCTGGATCCTCTTCTGGTGCAGTGGCTCCCCATTTCCTGAGAACATAGAGAAAGCCCTCAGTCGGGTGGGGACTGCCATTGTGCTGTGCTTCCTCACTTTACTCTATGCTGGTATCAACATGTTCTGCTGGTCAGCGGTACAGCTGAAAATCAACAGTCCTGACCTCATCAGCAAGTCCCATAACTGGTACCGGCTACTGGCGTACTATATGCTAAGGTTCATCGAGAATGCCGTCCTCCTGCTTGTATGGTATCTTTTCAAGACTGACATCTACATGTATGTGTGTGCGCCTCTGTTGATTCTGCAGCTGCTTGTTGGGTACTGTACAGCTGTTCTTTTCATGCTTGTGTTCTACCAGTTCTTTCACCCTTGCAAAAAGCTTTTCTCCTCTAGTGTTTCTGAAAGCTTTCAGGCATGGATCAGGTTTGTCTGCTGTGCCGGCAGGTGGCAGAAATCCTCTGAGTCAGTAGGAAAGGCAGAATTAACATCTTCCAGAGACCAGGATGAGACACCTTCTACCAGTAAAATGAGTCCTGATCCCACTCAGATGAGTGCTAATGATCTGTGCTCTGTTTAATAGGACCTGAGGTCTATCAGGGCACATGCATAGTGTTTGCTGAGTTGATACCTGTTCTTCATACAAGTAATGAGCCCTGCACAGGGAGCAAGGCAGAAAGTTACCTGTCAATTCCTTGTGAGCCGCTGCTCTGTTATTGAGCTCTTGGGTATGTGGGAACTATGGGGAGAAGCCAGGGAGACCTGAGGGTTGAAGGAGCAGCCTAAGGTGCCACAGTTCACAGGTGACCGTGTTATGTTCTGACAGGCCTTCCTAGCTGGTTCACTGACAAAGTACCCCTGAAGTATGAATTGGACTGGTTACATCTATCAGGTAGACTGAGGAAAGGGACTTGTTTTCTAGTTTTCTGGATCGGTGCTCTGGGTAGCCTGATGATTTATTACCCCTCAACCAGGTTTACACCCAAGATCCATCCTGATGACCAGAGAAGGTAGCTGGGGTTTTGCCATCAGCAACATCATTCTTATCATACCTTACAAGGAGGGCTGTTCAAGTTTGGTTTTTGAATAGAGAAATGTTCCATTTTCAGCTCATTGGGGCTTTTTGTACATAATCAATTGTAGCCTCCATGGCATGTTCTCTGTAATTGATTCAAGAGACTAGATTTGGATACTTTATTCCATAGGACCCATAGCTGCAAAATTGAATTCTAAATTTGAGTATGGAAGCCCTAGCATCTTAGGAAATTTGCTTTCCTTCCATAAGTTGAAGAAATTGTGTAACAAGATGGTGCTAAAACACCAAAATGATGGAGGGTTGTATAAGTAGAATTCTTACCTTCTCAGAAAGTTTGAATGCCAAAGGTAGGAATCTGCTAGAAGGTAGGCTTCAACGTAAATAAGATTCAGTTGTATCCTACAGTTCTGGGGAAATTATAACAGAATTTGCTGGGATTTACCTTTTTAGTAAAGAAAAAAAATAAAACTCATAACCTTCACACCCACCTCCCCCTCCCTTGCCTGCCAGAAAGATTTTAGATGAGCGTTATCTCAGTTAAGTTTTTCTAGGAAATCCTCCAGAAGTCTCTCACACAGTGCAGGTTTATAGGGCATTTTAATTTTCATTATTTGAAGGGAAAAGATTTTTCTCAACATCAACCCTAGTTAGTGATTGACTACAGAAATTTTTAAATTTTAGAAAGAGATGAAATGACCAGGTTTCTGCCTTTCATGGAATGCATTTTGATTTCACATTAATTTGTTTTTTGGTGTTTTTTTTTTTTTTTTTTTTTTTTTTTGGTTTTTCTCCGGTACCGGGAACCGAACTCATGACCTTGCACTTGCCAGGCAGGCGCTTTTGCCGCTGAGCTAAATCCCCAGCCCCTGATTTCACATTAATTTGAACCAAGTCTCCAGTTTTATTCTCCTACACTACTTTATTATCTGTGTAATTTTTCCTTTGCACCAAAATTGTATTTGTTTCTTTAAAGAAGAGTGAGTATTGTAGCATATTCTCAATTGTCTTGGAAACGTGCCTGGAACCCATACCATTTATTTCTACCACTGAAAGATTTTTAATGAAATATCTGGCAACAAGGAACCATAAAGATCACACTAATGTAGAATGAGGGCTATAGTAAAATCTGACAAATTTACAAAGAGGACTCCATTTCTGGACCTTGCTGGATGGAACTGAGGTCCACTTCTCTGACTGTGTAACCCCACAAAACATTTGACAATCACACCTGTGATAGTTTTCCTTTATAAATTTTTGTGCTCTCAAATTAATAAGTAATTTTATACACATGGATGAAAATACAATTTGGTTATCAATTTCCACTACTTTCAGGGATCTATAGGTATAATAGTAAATATTCTTCCATGAGGCATTCATGTTATTTAATATTTTATACTGTTCTGTAGATATACATCATTCATGTCTTAAACTATAGCAGCTCAAGTTTTGTTTTATGAGAAATATTTCCTCATTTGAAATTCTCTTGGTTTATCAATATTTGTAGTTTAAATTTGTGAGAATTCCCAGACAATAGAATTTTTCTCTATTTTAATGAAATAAGAATAAAACTCAAGATTTTTTGTGTTTTCCCTCTGAGTTCATCAATGGCCACTTGCCCTGTTTTTAATAGGACTAGATAAATAGTGAGCATACATAAGATAATTCATACAGTGTACGCTTCCACGTACTTTTCCTAAGCCCAGGTACACCACTGTAACACAGCGACTTTGAAAATATATGACAACTATAGGTAAAATAATTCTAAGATGTTAATGCACCCTTTTCGTTACTTCCTAAGTAATAGAAGGGTTCTATAATGTTTAGCAGAGCAGTAAGACCATTATTAAGTCATTCCGTTTCCTTCGATGAGCTCATTGTGTTGACATTAGATATTTACGCATTCTCTTATGAGAAAGACATTCTTGACTCGAAACTTCTCAGTGGCTGATGATAGAGGCAGTAGTGCCCCATTTCCATCTCAAATACCTCCAGGTCATGACTTGCCAGTGAGGACTGGGGATAACTACCAGCTTGTCATTGATGAGACATGTTCAGAATTAGACAAAGAGAGACTGGTATTTTCTGCCCTTAGTTTGGAATTGTCTTGAAAGCTCTCACAAAATCTTAATTTTCAAGTACATTATAAGTCACTTTAATCTAGAAGATAGGTAGGCAATTTAAATAACACCGAAATGAACTAAGCAGTGATAGTTTGTCATAGTCCCAAAGTGCAGTTCACACATTTATATGGACAGAGGCTTGGTAACTAAATTGGACAATTTTGGTAATTTTAACTCATGACAAACAGGTGACTTAATTTTGAAAACATGTAAGTCAGTTCACTTTAGGGAAGAGAAATCATTGCTTTTTTTCTACATGGTAAAAATGCAACTCATGACAAATTGAAATTTTTTTGTTTTAAAATTTTTTTTGTCTGAAATGGCAAAATTACAGTTCATACTATGAAGCCAGGTTGTCCTAAAGACATAAACCAGCAAATTTCCACATGTCTTAGGAATTAAGATATGTTTTTCAGTTACAATTTGAATTTTAAAAACTCCTAGTACTTTATCTAACTATTCACATGCCATAACTTGTCACAACAGCTCTGGTAACTGAATCACTATCATTTGTTTGTATTGGGGTGAAATTGTTTCTCAAAATATATATTTTTTTTCCTCAAAATATATTGAAATGATATCATCAAGCATGTTAGACTTTCTTTTGTCATTACCGGACAGAGCCTATTATAGAGATTAGCATCTCCCTTTTAAGCCCCACATGTTACTTAAATGCTTTATGCCTCAATTTTCTTACCACTAAATTACAATGATATACCTACCTCAAGGGTTGTCAGAAAGATCATATGAGATAATAGGTATTAAAATGCTTTGAAAACATTTTTAAAGTGCCATGCATAGAGTTGTTATTTCAAATCCATAAGCAGGTTATTATTTTTTTACTCTTTGAAAGGAAGTAAGTATCATCATCCACATGAGTGTCTGGAGTGAATATGTGGGCGTTCAGCTTTCTCAGCAGTTGCCCTTCATCTTACCTCCAGCTGCATATAAAGCTTAGCACCCAAATCCATGGTACTTGCAGGAAAAGACCTGCTGAATTTGAGAAGGTACTTCTGATGGAAAATGAATTTGTCATTGTGGTACTGTCTTTCATGAAGACATTATCTTTTGAGAACTGTGCTTTACAACTTAAATGGCTGATTCAAGGCATTAATTGAATGTGATTGTAATCTTTTTCAGCCTTGTAAATGGGAAAATAAGCATTAAATTGTCAACTACAGCATTTTCTTGGAAACCACCATAGAACATTAGTGCTATGGTTCTAAATGTATGTGCCAGTACTTCTCAGCCATTGCATTGTGGATGTGAGCTATTGTGGATTGCTTCTGTGAGTCGTTGACTCAAATGTTGTTTATGTCTCTTCATATAATAAATTAATTTTTCAATTTCTCCTTGCATTTCATTCCTTACACAGTCCATACCTGACTTCTTTATTCCAAGGACTATTTAAAGATAGAAAGTATAAAATGGTTTTATTGTAATTAATTATAGTTCTATAAACTCACCTGGAAATTAATTCTGTAAATGAGAAGTTTGAAAATGATAGGGTTCAACCTTGAAAGACAGCAAGATTCCACTAAAACTATCCCTGACTGTTCTATAAGTACTTACTCAATCTGTTACAACTGTACTGCTGGGTAATAAGATTCTGCTTAGTTGTCTGTTAATGACTGTGTGTGATATAAAAAAAAGCGGTGATATATATCTCTTTGAAACAAACACAAATGGTAGGCTGATCCAGAGATACAAAACACCAAGGGGTAGCTTCATATGAGCCTAAACAAATAAATTAAAAGTGTACTCGTGATTGGAAAAAATATCAGTCATTAAAAGGAATCATTTCAGAGCATGAAGTAGACAATGAGTGTTTCAGTAATTCCTTTGCTTCTGAAGATGGCCTTGCAATTTGCAAAGACTTAGATATAAGCATTTCTTTTTTTAAAACAAAGCTTTATTGAGTATATTATACAAAACTGCACATTTTGAATGTATCGCATTACATGAGTTTAGACCTATGCAAACATCATCACAAGGTACTAGTCATATATTCCTCACACTTTTAAGTTTTGTTTTGCTCTTTTCTTCTTCCTTCCTTCCTTCTATCCTTCCTTCCTTAAAACCATGATTTTGAAATGTTTGTTGGAAAACTGTATAATACTTTTTCATATCCACTTTAATATTCAAGTGTTTGACTTTGAATACCTGAGCCCATAGTTCATTCTTCTCCCCCACCCCACTGTTACTGCTCTGTCTTGCTGCGTTCAGGCCAAGTTTGTAAAGATTAGGAATGTGGTGAGGGAAGTAGACTATTCTGCTATGACCATATTTCTTTGTGTACCCCATTCCAAGAGACTCTATTTTTTAAATTTTTTTATTTGTTTTTGGTACTGGGAATTGAACTCAGGACCTTGCAATTACTGAGCAGGCTTTTGTGCTGCTGAGCTACATCCCCAGCCTCTTTATTTTTCAAACTGATAAATGAAAACTACATATTTATGAAGTACCATGTGATGTTTTGTTACATGTTGAGGCACTATTTAAAGTTCACATCTGGGTGAGCATACCTGCCTCCTCAAACATCATTTCATTGTGGTGAAAACTTTCAAATCCTTCCTTCTAGCTCTTTGAAATACTTAGCACATTATTGTTATCTGTAGTCACCTCACCATGCAATACAACACGGGTTTATTTCTCCTGACTGTAATTGAAGCAGTCTTTATCGTCCATGAACATCTTTCCAGCTGAGATAGCACTTAGAAATGTCAATTATGCATATAATTAAATGAGTAACATTTTCAGCTTCTCTTGTTCAAGAAAAGGCACTTTATAGTAACAGATGTTTGTAAAACTAGAAACTCAGAAATCTCTTCTTTCCCATCACACAACAAGCCTTGGTCGACCAGGCCCTGGTGTGCTAAAATGGGGAGTCAGCTGCAGACACATGCACTAGGAAACTCAGGCACCTCTTGTCACCCTCTTGGCATGGTTGTTTTTCTGGAAATTAGGCCAAGGACAAGCAGGGACAGATTCAGCAGATGGTGCAAGAGAAACTATTTTCAAGTACTGTTCATTGGCATGAAGCAGTGTCTCTTTTCAGTAGATGATCAGGAAACTTCTAGCCCAGATGGTGCTGTGGCAACTCAGTATCAAGTGAGAGTTGCAGGATCTACTTCCCCAAGAAGGATAGATTTATCCTAAGAGATTCAGAATTCTGCCTGTGCTTTTGCTCCCTCCCTGCTTCCCAACCTGAATTAATTTTCTCTCTCTGAATGATGAGTTCCTGATTGAAACCTGATTAGTCTGATTCCTAGAGCCCTGGAAATGCCATCCTCCTTAGACATTGACATTATGCATACCTGTTTAATTTCTTATCAGTTTGTTTCCAATCTTAATTACCTAAACTCCCCAGTTAATGAGTCAGCTTTTCAGGAGTGATAGCGCTCAATAAACAAAATGATTTAGAAATTCTCTTTGACCTGGTACTCCAAAACCATGCCCATCACCACCCCAGCAGAGAGGAGAAGAACTCTTGCTATCACCTCCTAACAAGGGGACCTTCTTAAATGGAGCAGCAGAACTGTATAAAATAGTGTCCAGCTGCAAGAGCGCAGATCTCCAAGCATTAGAAACCTATTGCCATCCTCTCCAATAACTAGAAATGAAAGGCACACATATGCAACTATTTTTCAAGCCAGTGGGGATGCTATTAATGAA